GTATGTAGATGATTTGGCCACTGAGATTTAATTAATAAAATATGTTTTCAATAACACAACGTTGTGTACCTTAGAATACTTTATTTTTTTGTTTGGAATTAATTTTCGCTGTAGGAATAATTCAGTGAAAATAAAATCCAGCGAATATACCTTTTTCCTATATTTTACATTCAACTTGTCAAAAATCAGTGAAAATAAATTCCATACAAAACACCCAAAATGTTGTTTCAGTGAAAATTAATTCCAGCTAAAATAAATATTATTTTACAGTATTTGTGTGTGTGTACATATGTGAAAGTACATGTTGCCATTATTTGTGCATGTGAATTCTTGGTGAATTGTACAGACAATCATGTGATGATACAACTGATCCGCTATTCCCAGCAAAACAAAATAATATAAAATTGCAGAAATATCTATTAACAAAAACGGGGACTTATAATTCGGTCTCCGTTCGTCCGGAGTCATATTTCAGAATCTGTTGGACCGATTCCGTTCATTCTTTACATGTGCCTAGTACTTTATGTGGGACATATGCACATGCAGTGGTTTAGCGATTCAATTCAAAATAGCCGACTGGGAGCCATCTTGTTTTTTGAAAATGTTTTATTTTTCACATGCTTTGTCAGTTTTCATTCAAACTTGGTACATAGATTATACATGTTAGGATACATGTCCATGACACTTTCTTTGTCAATTGGATCAAAGATGCCGACTGGCAGGCATCTTGTTTGTTTTTTTAAATGTGATATCTTGGACATGCTTTGTCAGTTTTCATTCAAATTGGACACATACTTTATACATGTTAGGATACATGTCCATGCAAAATTTTTTCAAAATCGGATCAAGGATGGCCGATTGACAGCCATAGGGCAGGGCACACGTTGACCTACTTCCAGCCAGCCAGCCATGGTTCGTCGCGCGGTAATGGTACAACGGTAACAAATTTATCCTTGTGTCCGATCTCCGCTGTAGGGTTTGACTCCCTTCTTACCGACCCACAGGCGTCCCCAGAGGGAACCGACCCTGTTATGAGACGCACAGTCGAACACGCTCCCTCTCACATATTTAAAGTGAAAGGAGACACAGTTCGCTCGCGTCGGATACAGCCGGTACTCCCGGCGGTCCCTCATAGTCTTCCATCCGTAATGACTCGGTGAGCCATGCCTTTGGGGTGATACGAAGTATCATCGATCCCAGTGATATGATGTAAATACCCCCACCCTTGATCCTAAGGCGATCCCCTAAGGTTGTTTCAACGCTTATGGGATCACGGGCATGGCAACCACGTTTGTACGTCTCCCCCTGTCTGTCCAAGTGCGGAGTGGGCCACAGGGCACGCAAACTGTGTTGATGGGCGGACGTTGATCAGCCACGGAGGACGTACATGTAATGCTTAAGGTCCCCGGGTGGGGAAAACCTTAGGCAACACTTCCCGCTGGACCAAACGCTACCCGGTCGGTGTGGTTTTGGGATCAGACCCCATA